TTTCTTTTCTTTTCTTTTCTTTTCTAATAAACCTTTAGTTTTTGACACTAAAGGACTGGCTGGCAGCGTGGGATTTTGGGTAAGATCCAACCTAATACTGACCTGGTAACGTGGCTGGCCCTTTGGGATCAGAAGAACATTTTGTATAGTGAAGTCTTTAAATAATTTCTCGCTTTACTGGACCTAGATGCTGATTGGGAGCCAGAGAACTGGAATGCAATAAAGGGGGCTGTTTGATTTCTTTTTTAAAGCTTCTTGATAACCAGTGCGTGGAATCAGAAGCACAGTTTGTAACTGGTTAGTGAATCTAACTTCAGTGTTAACGGCCAGTTTGGGGAGAATCTGCTCGTCTTTTTGCAGCCTGCGCTGAGTTTGGCATTTTCAGTGAGGGCTGCCCCAGGCACCCGGCTCACACCTCTCTGCAGACTCACTCAAACTGCTCACATCGCTGTAGCTGAACTGGGTCGTTACCAGAACAGGCCTGGGCCCGGTTCTCCTTGGTGGCGCGCGATCCCGCGCTATAACACTGCTATGCCCCGGCAGGTTGTCACTGGGCCACCCAAACACGCGTGTGCAATTTAGGGGCTAAGGGCCAGATTTCCAAAAGTCCCTTGGTGCCTCACTCCGGTGATTTCATGGGGGGCCAGGCGCCTCCGTTCGGAAATCCTAGCTGGCCGCTGTCTGCATCGTCAGGCGCTTAAATCCCTTTGTCAGATGGCCACGAGTCCCTGTCCCCATCCATGTCTCTGCCCTCAGCTGCTGGAGTGCCAGCGCTGGCAAAAAAACTCAAAACAAGTTTTTCTTTGTATAGAGACAACATGCATCCCTCTCCCCCGCCCCGCCTCCTTCACACTCACAAAGGGCTGAGCCTTTTGTGGCTCAAACATGCCAAAAAAATCAACTCACAGCCCAGAGCTGAAACGTTTCAGCTCAAAAAGGGAAGGTTGAGGCAGTTAGAAGCCAATGGGAGAGGCCCTGCAGAAAGGAGACATCCAGGCAGCCAGAACAGGCTTAATCTGTCTGCACCAAAAGCAGACCACAGTGCTTTACATAGGAGCAGGGCCGGTTTTAGGCCGATTCAGCCGATTTGGCTGAATCGGGCGCCGCGCCTAAGAGCCACTCTGGCCGAGCACCCCCAGACCTGACCCCAGTGGCTCCAGCCCGCACCCAAACCCCGCAACCCCGGCCAGAGCACGGCCTGATTCCTGGGGGCGGGGCTTGCCAGCTTTCCAGGAATCGGGCCCCACTCTTGCTAAGGCCGGCCCTGCATAGGAGGTCAGTGTCATTATCCCCATGGGGATGGGGAAGCTGAGGCACACAGAGGGGGAGTGACCAGCTCAAGATCCCACAGCAGGCTAATGGCAGAACAGGGAACAAAACCCAAATGTCCCAAGTCCCAACCGAGTGCACTATCCACTGAGCTACACTGCCCCGTCTGGGCATTCCCAAATCCCTTTGGTGTCACTGTGCCCTGTCACCCACTCTCCATGATAGTTCGCACTGCTCACTCACCCTGCTGCCGCAGGACTCCACTCCCCCGCTGCACGAGGCTCCGCAGGGTCCCCAGACACTCGTACTGCAGGAAATGCTGGACGTACTGAGTCCAGGTCTTGCCCGTCTCCCAGCTCTGCTTCTGGAGGAAGGCCGGCTGCACGGCTGCGACCCACGTCCTCGTCTGGGCATCAAAGCTGATGAAGTCCCTCCCGTCGTAGGCGAACTGGAACCTCGGGTCCATGGGGACCTGGTTGCTCAGGGCACAGGTCACGTGAACCTGTCCAGTGTGAAACCCTGTGCGGGAGGGAGAGAGCTGAGACCGTGTACTGAGAGCTGGGAAATGTGTCGGGGGGGAGAGCGGTCGGGGGGGGGCTCGGGCGGACGGTGACACCAGGACACTGAGCGCTGGGAAATGTGTCTGTGGGGCGGTGAGGTCAGACGGGGGCTCGGTCGGACAGTGACACCAGCACTTTACTGTCTCTGACCGTGTTGCGGCCTTATGCTGAGCTAGTGAACAATCCCAGAGGACGCGGAGAAGCAGGAGGGGTCAGAGCAGACCCACGGGAAGGACTGAGGGGTTGGGATCCTACCAGACAGTTACTGGGCTCCTGGAGTCTCTCCAGCAGTGAACATGAGAGGTGCCATACGGGGTGAGACCAAGGTCTGACAGTGGCCAACACCAGAGATTCAGGAGGAGTTCACAGAACAGGGCAATTCTGGAATGATCCACCCCTGTCTTCCCCTCCCGGCTTCTGGCAGTTAGAGGTTTAGGGACACTCACAGCATGGGGTTGTGGCCCTGCCCATCCTGGCTAATAGCCATCGATGGACCTGTCCTCCAGGAACTGATCTAGTTCTTTTTTGAACCCAGTTATACTTTGGGCCTTCACAACATCCCCTAGCAATGAGTTCCACAGGTTGAATGTGTGTTGTGTGGAAAAAGTACTTCCTTTGGTTTGTATTAGACCTGCTGCCTATTGATTTCATCAGGTGCCCCCTAGTTCTTGTGTTGTGTGAAAGGACAACCGGTTCTAAAAAGGCTTTATTTAACAAAGGCTCGGGCAGCTGTCCACCCTGCCCCCGGCCCCAGCTCACGTCCCCCTCTTCCCCTGAACACTCCGCCCCCCTTCTCCTCCCCTTTTCCTGCTTCCCGCGAATCAGATGTTCGCGGGAAGCCTGAAAGAAGCAGCAGGCAGGCAGGCAAGCTGGGGCATGAGGAGGGCTGCAGGGAGGCAGGGCGAGGCCCAGCCCAGCCTGGCCGAACGGCTCCCTCCAGCCCGGCCCCGGCCAAGCGGCTCCCTCTGGCCTGGCTCCCCCGGTCCCGACCGAGCGCCCCAGCCCGGTCCCAGCCTGGCCCCGGGAGAGCGCCCCAACCTGATCCCGACCCCAGCCATGTGCCCCCAGCTTGGGCCCCGCGGCTCCGGCACGGCCCAGCTCGGGCCCTGCGGCACCAGTGCCGGCCGGCCCGAACCCGGTCCTGGCCGAGCAGCTCCGGCTCCGGTCCCGGCCCGGTCCTGACTGAGCTCCCCAGTCCCGGCCGAGCATCCCAGGCCCTAGCCCCAGCCGAGCGCCCCAGCCCGGCCCCGGCCTGGCTTCGGCCCCTCCGCCCCGGTCCCAGCCGAGCGGCTCCAGGCAGCGTGGTAAGGGGGCAGGGAGGGGGTGTTGTAAGAGGGCAGGAGAGTTCAGGGGGGTTGTGGGAGGGGTAGATAGGGGTTGGGGCGGTCAGAGGGCAGGAAACAGGGGGATTGAATGGGGGCAGGGATCCTGGGGGGCGGGGCAAGTCAGGGGCAGGGGTTCCAGGGGCACTTGGGGACAGGGAGAAGGGGTCGTTGGATGGGCAGGGGTCCCGGGGGGCCATCAGGAATGAGAGGAGGGGTTGGATGGGGCGGCAGGGGGCAGTCAGGGGACAGGGAAAGGGGATGGATGGGGCAGGGTTCCGGGGGGGGGGACATCAAGGAATGTGGGGGGTTGGATGGGGCAGCAGTCCCGGGGGGAGGCCACAACCCCCTCGTGGGATGAGGAGGAGGGAACCTGTTGTTAATATTTTGGCAGCTCATCACTGACTGTGTCCAGTTTTGGGCCCCACACTACAAGAAGGATGTGGAGAAATTGGAGAGAGTCCAGGGGAGGGCAACAGAAATGATCAGGGGTCTGGAGCACACGAGTTATGAGGAGAGGCTGAGGGAACTGGGATTGTTTAGTCTGCAGAAGAGAAGAGTGAGGGGGGATTTGATAGCTGCTTTCAACTACCTGAAAGGGGGTTCCAAAGAGGATGGAGCTCGGCTGTTCTCAGTGGTGGCAGATGACAGAACAAGGAGCAATGGTCTCAAGTTGCAGTGGTGGAGGTCCAGGTTGGATATTAGGAAACACTATTTCACTAGGAGGGTGATGAAGCACTGGAATGGGTTCCCTAGGGAGGTGGTGGAATCTCCTTCCTTAGAGGTTTTTAAGACCCGGCTTGACAAAGCCCTGGCTGGGATGATTTAGTTGGGGTTGGTCCTGCTTTGAGCAGGGGGTTGGACTAGATACCTCCTGAGGTCCCTTCCAACCCTGATAGTCTATGATTCTATGATCCACTATGTCCCTTTTGAGATGGGGCAATCACATCTGTACGCAGTATTCAAGGTGTGGGCGCACCATAGATGATATAGTGGCATTATGATATTTTCTCTCTTATTTCCTATCCCTTTCCTAACGGTTCCTAACATTCTGTTGGCCTTGGGAAAGGCTGTTTCTGCAGAATTATAATTTTTTGTGAGAAAATTTCAATTTGGTCAGAAAACATTGATTTTCTGTTGGAGAAATTGAAAGGGAAGATCCCGGGGCTGCCCAGCTCCCTGCCTGGGATTCTCCTGAGATAGAATTTCTGAAAAATTTCCTTCCCATGGAAACCTCCCATTTCTGACTTCCCTTCCGATCGGGAATGAAACCACTTCTGGGAATGTGAAATTTTCTGTGGGAAGAAAACTCCATTTTCCAGCCAGCTCTGGTTTGGCAGCACCTGGCCCAGCGAGGCCCCGATCCCCAATGGGAGTGATTCTGAGCGGGCAGTTCTTGTGTGTCCATTAATAATAACAACTCCCAGACACTCACCACCCGTCTGGTTGTGCAGCTGCATCCACCACCTGATACCTCCTTTGGAGACCTCCTCGTGCAGCCAGAATTCCTGGGTCTTTTCCTGGAGATACTCAGTGCCCAGGGCCTGTTCTGGCCACTCCTGGGTGGGTCTGACCTCTCGCGTGTCGTTGCTGTAGTGCGCGATCTTAACATCATCCAGCCGGGCGATCATGATGAAGTGATTGGTCCCATCTTCGTTGATGACGGCTGTGACGAGGACGGCCAGGCTGTGGTGCCCTAAAGCAACAGGAGCAAGGTCAAGTTAACCAGCAGCTTCCTCCCTTGCTCAGGGGACACCAGGGTCACCCAGTGGGGCCCAGCAGAAACCTCCCACCCCCAGCCACGTCCCCCTGCCCTCAGCCCCATCCTGGGCGAGGGACAAGCTGGGGTCTGTCAGTGACTCGCAATGCGCAGAGCCAAAGGGGAATCAGGAAGGACGATCTCTCAGCCTGTGCCTCTGAAAGCCCACGGCTTGTTTACGGGGGTCAGACATTGGTGTGTGTGGGGGTTAACTGCCCCCTAAAGAACTGCCCCCCATGGTGAAATGCCCTGCAGATAGGAGGAATGGTTGGGCAAACTACCTATAGTGGAACTGGTGGGTTTGTGGCCTGTGTGTTCTGTGTGTGTGGGGTGTGTGCGTGTGATGTCTGCACAGGTATACATGTGGGGAGAGGGGGCATGTGTATGTGCAAGGCCCTTCGGTGTAAGTTTTTACTGATTTTTACCAACAAATTCCCAGGTTTAACAGAAGCCGTTATTTGGTGTTTACTCAATTTTCACCCCAGTTTTGGCTCACTCAGGCACAGGGAAATACTGATTGTGTTAAAAGAACAGGAGTACTTGTGGCACCTTAGAGACTAACAAATTTATTAGAGCATAAGCTTTCGTGGACTACAGCCCACTTCTTCAGTGCCACAAGGACTCCTGTTCTTTTTACGGATACAGACTAACACGGCTGCTACTCTGAAACCTGTGATTGTGTTAAGAAAATCCAACCCGTGACAGCGGGTCGATGTGTTGTGTGAATAATAAATTAGTCTAAGTGCGAGGCTGCCTGTTAACGGTAAGGCAATGGACAGAGACTGACAGACAGACACACACATGCATGCACACACGCACACCCCCCCGTTACTGCGCAGTCCATGAAATAAACCACAGCATTAAACACATTTGACTTTCAATATTCAGACTTTTCCCTCTTTATTGCTTTTTTCCTGCCCTCCTGTCCCCCAGGTGTAACCCCAACTTATGTAACTTATGTAACCCCAACCTGCTGAGCCTGGTGCCCCCCATTCCTCCCCCCTGCAGCCGGGTTACTGCACAGCCCTGCCAGAGCCGGGGTATGAGGGGTAACCGGAGCTCACCCGCTTCTCACTGGGAGCAGGGAGTTTCACTGAGGTGAGGTGCCCCACTGCTGTATTTACCACGACAACACTGCCCGCGAGGGTCGCTGGGCCAGTTCCCCTCTGCTCCATCTTACCCCTATGGTGGGGGATCTTGGGCTGGGGGTTGGGGATTTCTGGCAGGCCCCCAAAGAAGGACAGGGATTGTGGGGGGCTCAGGCCCATGGAGGAGAACGGAGCCGAGGGGCTGGAGGGTTAAGGAGCAGAGCCCTTGGCAGCAGGCCCTGCAGAAAGTTCTCGCTGGCAGGTCATCACCGCCCCCCCAGTGTTTCCAGCTGATTTTCCCTGGTCTGCCTCCCCCCAGCCCCCCAGGTGCTGCTAGTGCGGCTAGTGCCTGACCCCCTTTGCCCCGGCTCTACTCACCATCTGCCCCTGCCTGCCCCCAGCACAGCCCCAGGGCGACACCCAGGGCCATGGCTCCTGTGCTGGGTCAGGGGTTTCCCCCACTCTGAAGAGGAACAAACCCCCCAGCTCCAGCCCCGGGAATCTGCACCCCCCCTTGTCACTTTCACTTTCCCAAGTGTTGCCAATCACAAGCCCAGCCGGCCAATCAGAATGCGGGAAGGGAACTTGCTGGCAGTATCCAGGCAGAACTGGTCTCAGAGGTTTCCATTCACACGGGCAGGGCCTGGCGAAGAGCCATTAACTTAGGGTGACCAGACAGCACTGGTCACCCTACAGTAACTCCGCTCCTGAGCAGGTGTCAGGAGGGACGGACTCCAGCGCCTCGGCGGCGGGGGGGAGGGCAGAAGAGTATCTCGGGGGGGGGGGGTGTGGAAAGAAACTGGGATCCTGTGGGTCCCCCCAGGACCTGGTGCCATGATAGCGGCGCAGGATAAAAACAGAGCAGGAATTGTGGGCAGCAGCAGCTCCAGGCACCAGTGCAGCAAGCGTGTGCCTGGGGTGGCAAGCCGCGGCGGGGGGGGCGTAGGGTTACCATATTTTGTGCCTCCAAAAGGAGGACACTCCACGGGGCCCTGGCCCCACCCCAACTCCGCCGCCGCCCCAAAGTTTCCGCCCCCACC